ATAATCAAAATAAAGCTATAATAATAGAGGAGAGAGAGTTAGAGATTCTCATTGATTGAAGATGAAAGTCTATAGAAAAGATGATCAATTTCTTCTTCAAAATCCAAACTCAACAATGGTGAAACCCTTACTTTCTCTATCTAAACTATCCTAATTCTAACCTAAACCTAGAGAGAAAAGCTCTCCTAAAAACTAATTACAGAATTTAGTGATTGGTAATTGTATAATCTCCTTCCCTCAAAACGTTCTAAAATGGGACTTACATAGTCCGTATAGAGCCAGCTGAAATTGGGGAGTGGTCTGACCGAACACTGGGAAGGTTCGGCCGGACTACAGGGTAGGTTCGGCCGGACTACAGAGTAGGTTCGGCCGAACCATGGGTTGGTTCGATCAAACCTCCCTGATCCTGTTCTGGTCGAACTTCTGAGGCTCGACCATTCCTGCAAAATTGCGAAATTGCTTCTTGACTCTGCCTCGACGTTCGGCCGGACCACTGAGAAGGTTCGGCTACACCCTGGTTCAGCCACACCTTCAGGAGGTTCGGCCGAACCTCTTCTGAATCTTGCTTCCTTCAGCTATCCTTGAGCTTAGCTTCCTCCTCTTGAAAACCCCGATGGTTCCTACAAAGCATAAGCATGGAAATCAAAGTAAAGAGTAGGAAAAAGGGGAAAAATCTAATAAAGAAGATGCATAAAGGGAAAGGGAACTAAGTGCAAAGAAAAGGATGCAAACAAGCCACAAATGTAGGAAAATTACCATCAAAATGAACCTTAATTGTGGCATAAATGCCACTCAGAATTATCAAATTCATCACCCGAAGAAGGTTGAAAGAAAGTAAATTCAGGAGCCCAACTGAAAATTATATTTATAATGAACCTTAGATTGAGAAATCGGTATTCGATAATTACAACAATAAAAAAAGGAAAAAAAAATCTTACTTGAGTAACCGCTTCAATAGCTAAGGGAAAGCTCGGAAATTGCTTTGATAAACCTAAAAACCTTAGCTTTAGCCATGAAAAGAAGGAAACGGGACGGTGATTGATGCCATTTTTGGCGATTTGAGGAAGAAGATCGAGGGAAAATGAGAAAAGATTGAGGGAAATGAGAAAAACAGGAAAGAGGTCAAAATAAGGGGCCAAAGAGGACGATAAAAGAAAAACCAAGAACAAGCCACACGTTAAAGACCAAAAAGATAAAACTACCCTAGGTAAATTGGGCAATTCAATAAAGGGGCAGACGGCAAAGGCGTCATTTCTCTGTTCATAAGGAACAGTAAATGTGCAATAGTGGTGCTTGGGGCTTTTGTGCAATAGTGGTGCTTAGGGCATTTATATAGGTTAAGATTAAAGATAAAGAAAGATTAAATATTATAGAGGGGTTTAGATATAAAGATTTCAACAAGAAATTCCCTTTAAAAAAAAATTCCAACGAGAAATTGTTTCCTTTCCTTAAAAAAAAATAATTATTTCCAGTAACTTAATATTTGTAACCGACGTTTGTAAGTTAAATACAAACTTTTTGGTCAAAATTTCTTTGACTTAATATTTGTAATTGACATTTGTAAGCTAGCTACAAATGCTTTGGTAAAAGTTTCTTTGACCTAATATTTGTAACTGGCGTTTGTAAGCTAGTTATAAACTTTTTAGTCAAAGTTTCTTTGACTTAATATTTATAACTGACATTTATTTAGTCAGTTACTAATAAAACTTCAAACAATGATATATCACATATTAATAACTGACATTTACTACGCTGGTTACTAATGTCATGAAATTTGTAACTCGCATTATCTTAGTATGTTACTATTGATGCTTTCGTAACTAGCATAACTTACGCCAATTACTAATAGGGCATTACAAACAACAACTTTTCTACTAGTGACTTTTGGCCTCCTGTGTTTACAGGAAGTGCAATGACGATAAATAAAACCATTTTCGTGTTGGATTAAAGTGAAGAGTACTTATGGATAACTATTTAAGCCACAAAACACAAACGACTAGCCCAAATTAAAGAAAAAGCCAAAAAAAAGGTCCAATTAACTAAACCCGATCATAATTATGCTTAAGCTTGTGCTTAAACCCTAATAATGACGGATTTAGGAGCTCCTAGGTTAAATCTTAGTGCTACCGCAAAAAAGTCGCGCGCATCTCAAAGAGTCGCGCTGGGTTGCTGCGCGCAACTAATTCAGTTGCGCGCGACATTTAGCGCAACCCCAAGAGTTGAGCTGCGAAAGATTCAGAATTATACTGAAAATATAAAATCGAATCTTACCATAAAGTTGCGCGCAAGACAATTAGTTGCGCTGCCCATAGCAGCATCACTTAATCACTTGCGCTTGATGCCGCACGCAAATCATTCTGTTGCGCGCGACACCTGCTGCGGCGGAATGCTCGAAACCTTATACTAAATCATTCTCTATAAATACGAGCTTAGACCGAGGCTTAACTAGACAAAAAGTAACCTACAACTCTAGCGAAATAACTTGTGAACTTGTGCAACCTAGCCCTTCTTGCCTGAAACACTCACCCTTTCGATATTTGGTTATTACGGTGGAGGTTCCCCAACAAGGAGTCCATAAGCGTTCAAAATGGAGATATAGGAAAGAGAAGTGGTAAATTCCTGATCACTTAGTTAAATCACCTTTATTTTCTTGTTTAAAAGGATTTTAATTAATTAATTAGTGTTGTTTGATCACCTTTAAAATAATTAATTAATCAATTCCACATAGTATCTTGTGTTAAATAAAGATTAGAATTGAATTAAGTAATTGTTGGTTGATCATTTAAGCCAAGGCGAATCTTGTTTATTTTCTTGTTCTTTCACGAATATTATTAAATAAGAATAACGACTTTACAATGTAATTCCTAAGTGAATTAATGCTTGTAAATATAATCAACTAACATAGTTTTAGGTATTGCGTTGCATATATAGTTTGGAGATGAAATTGTAAAAAAGGAAGAGCTATTAGAGGCCGCACTAGGGCTAGGATAACTATTCCCCTCTAAAAGGAATGTTATTTTATAGTACCCTCGCTCCCAAACTCATTCCTGGTTAATAGACCGATTTGGGCATGGTTAAACTTATGATTCGTGCTAATTATTCCATGAACTCCACATGGAAGAAAGGCATAAACAAGGTTTATGAGTTTTTCTTAAAACTCATTGGCGACCTACTTGTTTCTTACCAAAAAGCATAATGATAGAATCAATTCTAATTCAAGTTCCCCCAAACAGTCAAGAATTCAAATCCTACATCTAGGGAATATTTCAAGCATTATCCCTAGCTTGAACCCCACTGTGATTATACACTTAAGTACGGTGGCGTCCAAAGGGAAGAAACATAGAGCTAAAGAGTCGCCAACAAGTTTTAGGAACTTGTAAACCGTTCACGAGGTGAAGGTTACACCCCTTAACAATCCATGAGTTCGTCAACTCTAATAGGTCTGGAACCATGACTAGTAATTTGGGGATGAAGATACAAATTCAACCTAAAAGAGATTGAACCTGCCCTAATAATAGGCCTCTACTTTATTCTGATCGTATTCGTGTGCGGCTTTCTGACTAACATGCAATCAATAGGATTAACCCTAAACCTGTTTATCTATGTTGGTTGAATATTAATGCACAAATGAACCTATTATTGGCAATCACTTGAATTATAATCAAATTAACCCTAAATAAGATTATTAATTATCTTAATAAGCGTGATTACAAGTACCAATTCCCTTTAAACATGCATAAAAGGTGTGATCAAGCAATAACAATAAATATAATCAAGCAACATAATAATAATCATGTTAATAATAACGCATAATAATAGTAGCAAGATCCTAAGCATGATATTAACAAGACTAATAACAAACCATAACATGTCACTAAACATTAAAAATCAAAGCTTTAACCCTAACATAATACTAACATGAATATTATAAAATAAAATAGGAAGCATCGCAGGAATCACAATTGTTATATTTGATATTAGAAATTATAGTTGTTACCCTAAACATGATACTAGGAAGATCAAAATGTCCTAACATGATACTAGGAATCATAATAACAACGTAGGCATGATCTCTATATGATAATATCAACTAAATCAATTAAAGCACTAACTTGGATGCCTCGTATCTCTTTCTAATAACAAAGTACACGCGTTAGTAACTTCAAGCGAGATATAAAATAAAACAATTAAATTAAATAATTGAAATGGAGATTTGGGACCAATCCCTCAGTAATTAAAATCTTTCACGTCTAGGGCGAGGGCAACTTTAAACTTGGCTAGGTGTTTCTTGGACTTGTGAATGCGGAATTTTGTATGCAAAAGGGTTGGAGAGAGAGAGAGAATCTTGAAAACTAGAGAGTTGATGAGAAATGATGATATTTAATGATGGAAATCGGTGATTTTAGGACGTTTTTTATAAAGAAAATGAGCCGGACAGATAGAAAAACAAATCAGAGTTTCGACGAGAATAAAACAGGTTAGCGCCAGACGCGAAGCATTAGCGCCAAGCGCTAACAATTAATTTCACGCGTTTTCTTAATTATGATAAAAAATTAGCTATAAAGAAGGGCAAAATCATATTTTCCTCAAAAACTCTTTTATTATGATTAAAACTCTAAAAAGTCAACCAAAGTCAATTTATCAATGCTAATTGAATTACGAATGAAAAGATCTTTCTAGAATAATCTAGAAGACTAAAATCAATTCTAATTGCATCAGGAATGATAAATCCATATTAGGCTCTTCTCTAGATCATTGGGCCGCATATAAAGATCAAACCGGACCCAATTTAGTAATTTGGCCATAACTTCCTCATTATTCATCGGAATTGGGCATATAATATATCGTTGGAAAGCTCTTTTCGAACCCCATCAAACTACACATTTTTGGAACCTTTCCATGGACCAAACCAAATTGGATTAGCTGTTTTTTAAAAAAAATAGGTTTTCAAAACAGAGAGAAAGAAAAGAATTAAAAACTATCCGCAACACTAGGCTTTCCACACTTTCACTTCCTTCGATTATGATTCGACGCAAAAGATACTCATCACCGGGTTTTGTTTTGGGGAGACACAACATATACAACAACACTAAAAATATTACGTTGTTCTACCTAAGCTAATAGTTAAGAACTAAATATTTACTTCTAAAGTATTGCGTCCATTGTTCTCGAACCACATTCAACCCGTCAACATCATACGGGGCAGTCCTTGGACAAAAATCCTATTGAAAAAAAAACATATGAAAGTGGTTACAAAATAAAAACAATCCATAATAAAAAAAATCATTAGAATAAATGCGATGAACCAAATTGTAGAAATAAAACTCATAATATAGAAAAAAAAACACATAACATCCTTAATTGACTTATATTTTGATTTCTATGAGTTGAAATCAATAAAAAGTTAACATTTACTCACTTTTGGGAGCGTATAGAGCCAAAAAGGCTTCAAAATTGTGCTAAAGGACTTCTATCTTTCCCATCTTTCAAGTATTGGTTCAAATTAACACAATGTAACACATAACATCCTTAATTATCTTATTTTTTGGTTTCTATGAATTAAAAGCAATGAAAATGACCACTATCTCACTCTTGGGAGCGTATAGAGCCAAAAACGCTTCAAAATTGCCTAAGGGCCTTCTACCTTTCCCATCTTTCAAGTATTTGTTCAAATTAACACAATATAATACTAAACATCCTTAATTACCTTATATTTTGGTTTCTATGAATTGAAATCAATGAAAAGTAACCATTTACTCACTTCTAGGAGTGTATAGAGCCAAAAAGGCTTCAAAATTGCCTAAGGGACTTCTACCTTTCCCATCTTTCATGTATTGGTTCAAATTAACACAATATAATACTAAACATCCTTAATTACCTTATATTTTGGTTTTTATGAATAGAAATCAATGAAAATTGACCATTATCTCACTGTTGGGAGCTTATAGAGCCAAAAACGCTTCAAAATTGTCTAAGGGACTTCTACCTTTCCCATCTTTTAAGTATTTGTCCAAATTAACACAATATAACACATAAAATCCTTAATTACCTTATATTTAGGTTTCTATGAATTGAAATCAATTAAAATACACCATTTACTCACTTTTAGGAGCGTATAGAGCCAAAAAGGCTTCAAAATTGCCTAAGGGACTTCTACCTTTCCCATCTTTCATTTATTGGTGAATTAACACAATATAATACTAAACATACTTAGTTATCTTATATTTTGGTTTCTATGAATTGAAATCAATGAAAATTGACCATTATCTCACTCTTGGGAGCGTATAGAGCCAAAAACGCTTCAAAATTGCCTAAGGGACTTCTACCTTTCCCATCTTTCAAGTATTTGTTCAAATTAACACAATGTAACACATAACATCATTAATTACCTTATATATTGGTTTTTATGAATTGAAATCAATGATAATTGACCACTATCTCACTCTTGGGAGCATATAGAGCCAAAAACGCTTTTAAATTGTCTAAGGGACTTCTACCTTTCCCATCTTTCAAGTATTTGTTCAAATTAACACAATATAATACTAAACATCCTTAATTACCTTATATTTTGGTTTCTATGAATTGAAATCAATGAAAATTGACCATTTACTCACTTTTAGGCGCGTATAGAGCCAAAAAGGCTTGAAAATTGCCTAAGGGACTTCTACCTTTCCTATCTTTCATGTATTGGTTCAAATTAACACAATATAACACTAAAAATCCTTAATTACCTTATATTTTGGATTTTATGAATTGAAATCAATAACAATTGACCATTATCTTACTCTTGGGAGCGTATAGAGCTAAAAAGGTTTCAAAATTTGCAAAAAAAAAACTACTAACCTCTTCTAAGACACCTTTGCACTCAAAGTGAGAAGTAACAATCTCATACATGTATCTCATAATGTAGTAGCCACATTCAACGCCTCCTTGTTGTTGAGCACACTAGTATATATAACAAATAGTTAAAAATTTTGTTTTCAAAGTGAACAATGTATAACAATATGGGGTGAGTAGTGTATTTACCTCAATTTGTATGAATTTCAATTTTTGCCTTTGTGATTTCAATTCACTCCCTGTGAGATTCGCCTGATATACTTTATAAGCCCTACAAAAATAATATGTATTCTAACACTTAGAACAAAGTAATCTACAACACCACATACAAAAATGATATAGAAACTAAGGCATAATTTCAAGGTTGTGGCTCACGTCATCATAATCTCGGCAATTTTCAATTTTCGGGGATTTTCTTTAGGTAGCTTCATAGAGTCAAACTCATAAGCTAAACCTAATTGTAGATCGACCACCACAAGAACCCAATGACCACTACATCATTTAAGAGAAAAACACAAGTTAGAGTATTGGAAAATTGGTGAAAAACATATCATTTATATGATTAAGTTTAGTGGCAATATAAAAAACATATTTCGAACCTTGCGACATATAAAGCCACGATGAATTTGCAACGTTTACCCGTCTTTCTTACTTCATGCAAAAATGTATTCTTCACATATGTATAAGTTTCAAGGTAATCATTCTCAATTGAAGATTCAGAAATGAGTTGAGGACAAAAGAATGTGATCTCAATCCTGTTGAAAAGGTCGATGAAGTTGTCTACTAAATACCTACATGATAAAGACATAGAAAACAAAAAATTCAGCATTATAGCATTAAAAATATTACTATAGTGAATATAAGAACCAAAGTAAAGAAAGATTAAGTAACCTACATGATGTAAGCATGAATCAACGAAACATTAGCCCACGATCCTCTTAGAAATTCATGTACATCGGTAGCGGTTACCCAAATTTGTTTGTCGCTATCAAAATTAAACATTGAGGCCTTTAAAAGTACCGATGTTGTATCATACTTTGCATCATCAGAATTCATTAACCAATACAACAACTCACACCCCTCGCCAAAAGTATCGACAATTGTATCTTCAAGTGGTAGGAATTTTGTGGGTTTGATGATAGATTGCCTTGATTTCACACCACAACTATCGCCCCCTTCTTTGTTTTGGCGAGATCTATGCTTCTTATTGGGCGATGGTGAAACCTTTACAAATAGGTGAATATTAGTCTAGATAAAATATACAAAAATAATGGAATTTAATGTTAATAGTAGGAGAATATACCTCTTCTTAAAAAAAACCATGTCTATAGACCATAGTACAAAGGAAGACTTGGCTTTTCCCAACCATGTCTAAGGCAACTTTGCGCTCAATCTTCTACTGCCAATAGCCCAGATGATAATTCATGCAAGTAAAGAAATTTAGATAATATGTACCCCCATTATGTTCAACAATTGGAAAATTGGTTGATAAGGCCTTCATCAACTAATTGAGATGGTGAAGGGGTCACAACGGTTACAACAACTAAGCAAGAAACAACAATCAAGCTATCTTAATTGCGTAAATTACTTAACCATGCATATAGAAAAAGGCAAGGACAAATTCTCTTAGCTATCTTAATTATTTAATATCATCAAGAGTTCAGCACAGCACTAATTGAGATGGTGAAGGGGTCACAACGGTCACAACACAACTAATCAGAACTGAAATTTTAGAACTGATCGGAACTGTTCAGAACTGATCATAACTGAAATTTCAGAACTGATCAAAACTGATTGGAACTGATCAGAACTGAAATTTCAGAACTGATCAGAACTAATCAGAACTGATCAGAACTGAAATTTCAGAAATGATCGGAATTGAAATTTCAGAACTGATCGAAACAGATCAGAACTGTAATTTCAGAACTGATCGGAACTGATCAGAACTGTAATTTCAGAACTGATCGGTACTGATCAGGACTGATTAGAACTGATCGGAAAAGGCCTTAATTTTAGAAAATCCCATTAAACAACTTAGGAAGCAGGAAATGAGCAATAAACAGAAAAGGCCTGATCACTTATCAGCTCAAAAGTATAAACAAGTAACTGAAAAAAAACTATACTTGATTACTTAGAACAACACTTACAATAGCATTGGCTATTTGCTGGGTTTCGGCATTCTTCGGGTCTATAGCCCACGATCCATCTGCAATACGAGTTTGACGGGCCAAAATCCAATAAAGAGACTGATTTTTAAGCTTTTCACTCATTACACAGCTTGTTGTGGACTCTGTGGTGCTTGAGGTTGAAGATTCTGCTGGAATTCTATTGGTCTTACTCCAATAAACTCGAGCCCTCTCATAACTCTTGGAGCCTAGATGGTGGCGATGCTTATTATTCTTTGCATTTTCCTTGCCTTTTTTACTCGGAGCCTATTACAAAATGGAAAGCTATTGTAAGTAGTATTGTAGTTGAAATAAAGTATACATGTGAAAAATACATAATATCTTACACACCTTAAATTCATCTGTATTGCAATATGTCTCAAACTCTTTCCATTGCTCTTCTGTAATGTAACCTTCATAAAGCTACCAGGGCTTAATGTTTGCACTTGGTGAGTCAGGCGGAGGTGCAGTTTCCTAAGTAATGAATCGTGAAACTAACCAAGACTTGTGCTTCCTAAATCTAGCACCAACAGCTTCGTGGAACTTCTTCTCTTTACTACCCTTGGGATCATCAATGTGGAACTTCCGCTACAAAATTAGAGAATGTTAATATTCATAATTAATTATAAGTATCGTTAAATTTAGAGGAATAAACCATATTTATATCGTAATTACCTTACTCTCCTCCCACAAGTTTTGCTTTTGAACTTTATCATACTTCGGATATCCTTCACATTAATGTTAACTCTTTGAGCACAATTACCAATTTTCTTCCCATAAGCAGATTCCCACTTTCCAATAGGCATGTCAAACTCATCAAATTCGAGGAACATGGGTGTAATTGTTTGGACTGATTTGGACGGGCCTCGTCCCTTTTTTGTAGAAGATTTTACTTGGGAAGTGGAGGCATCCATGTCACCAGATTGTTCCTGTCCTTCTTGATCATTTCTGTTTTCTTCCATTGTAGTATGCCTACACCTACACAAAGAATGAAATTAACAAGAATATAATCAAAATCATAACAAGAAAATCATATTAATGTAAATACTATACAATAAAGAAATTAATGATTTAGATATATACCAATTTAATAAATTCAATATTAATTGCAAAAAAATACTATTGTTAAAGGAATACAATAACACAAACCTTGGTTGTAGGTATAGGAACCACTAACCCTTCCTCACGATCATACTCTACATCACCAACAATATCTTCCCATTCTTGTAGAGGTTGCACTCCCATTGTTATAGGCGGGATGTCATCAAATTGGTCATACTCTTCTTCATCCATAACATCTTCCACACCCACAATTTTTCTCTTGCCTTCAACTACAACACGCCATTGCGGATCTATATTATCCTTGATGTAGAATACTTGTTTCGATTGTGAGGCTAATACAAAAGGCTCTTCACCATCAGTATAACGACTAGAGTCAACCAAGGTGAATCCAAATAACTCATTAGTTTTCATACCACAACGGTTATCAGCCCATGTGCAACGAAATAAAGGAATTGTGAAATCAACATAATCCAACTCCCTGATTTCTTGAATGACACCGTAATATGCCTGTGTAGCTTCAACTGGCCTTGTATCCCTAGAACTTGAGTATTCAGTAGAAGATGCAACCACGACAACACCACTATTTTGTTGCACATTTTTTTCATCTTGACGACAAGTGGCAAAAGTAAATCCATTGATATCGTAACCCTCATAAGTATACACAAGTGGTTGTGGACCTTGTGAAAGCCACTTGATCATTTCAGAAACATTCTCATCTCTACTCAATTCAAGCTTCACTTGGCCTTCAAACCACTCAACAAAGTGGCGATTATGCTCCTGCATCAACGCATAGGAGCTGATCCTGGTATTGTGAATTTTCAACTCACGAAGATGTTTTTCAATATATGGATGAACTTCAGATAGGTTTTGTAGCACAAATCGGTGGGCTTTCTTATATCGATCAAGTGGAGGTTTAACCAATTTCCGACCTACTGTACCCTTTCCTTGAAGTCTTCCCTCGTGACGAGAAGTCGGAATCCCAATTTCTTTAGCCTTAGCTAAAAACACTGAACAATAGTTCCCTGCTTCCTCTGCTATGAACCCTTTCACGATGCTCCCTTCAGGATTTGCTCTGTTCTTTGCCTTATCTGCCAAAGTACCCATTTTCCTCTCATATGGGTACATCCAACGCATAAATACAGGACCGCACTCCTTTATCTCACGAGGCAAGTGCATAACAAGGTGAGTCATTATGTCAAAAAGGAAAGAGGAAAATACATCTTGAATTTGCATAATGTTTCAACAATATCATATTCCATATCGTCGAGTGTTTTTGGATCTATCACCTTACTGCAAATTGCATTTAAAAACAAGCAAAGCTTCACAATATCATGCCTAACATGTTTTGGCAAAAGGCCTCTGAGTGCAATTGGCATGAACACTTGCATCATCACATGACAATCATGGGACTTCATACCAACAACTTTCTTATCAGTAGTAGAAACAAAACGCCTTAAGCTCGACGAATACCCTGTCGGCACCTTGATTCCTTTTAAACACTCACCAAAGATCCTTTTTTCTTCTCTACACAATGTATAACACGCATGGGGCAAAAATGCTTTTTTCGTTGCTTCATTTTCCTCAGCCCAAAACTTAGGTCGAATTTTGGCTTCCTTCATGTCTCTACGCACATTAACACCATCCTTTGTCTTTCCTTTGATATTCAACAAAGTCCCAATTAGTGCCTCACAAACATTTTTTTCAATGTGCATAACATCAAGATAATGTCGAACCGACAAGTGCTTCCAATAAGGCAGATCCCACAACTTAGACACTTTTTTCCGGTACACACCCTTCTTCGGTATCTCTCTGTGCATCTTACCGAATATTGTCTTAACATTTTTAATTTTCTCATACACTTCAATTCTTGTCAATGGCTCACGACTCACTCCTTTCTCAACATGCCCGTCGAATTGTTGTCTCATCTTCCTGTATGGGTGATTTTGACGAAGTGATCGTCTGGTATGCATGTACACATTCTTCCCCTAATGCTTTAAGCGTGTAATTTTCATGTCATCCTCACAAATAGGGCATGGTTTTTGTCCTCTAACTTTGTACCCTGATAAATTTCCAAATGCAGGAAAGTCATTAATATTACAAAACACCATGGCTCTTAATTTGAAATTTGTACTCGAAAGAGCATCAAATGTCACAACACCTTCATCCCACAACAGTTTCAAATCGTCAATAAGGGGCTCCAAATAAACATCTATCTCATGGCCAGGTTGTTTAGGACCTGGGATTAGAAGTGATAACATGATGTACTTGCGCTTCATGCACAACCAAGGAGGTAGATTGTATATTGACAGAAGAACAGGCCATGTACTATGTTGACTACTAAGAGTGCCAAATGGATTCATCCCATCCGTACTTAATGCCAGTCTTATGTTCCTCGGCTCCTTCCCGAATTCTAGATATGTCTTGTCAATGTGTTTCCATTGCAACAAATTAGCTGATCAACCCATCCTTCTTCCTCTCATTTTCATGTCAAACCAACTTCTTTGCTTCATCCTTAATTGAGAACAGGCGCTTCAACCTTGGTATTATAGGAAGATACCATACTACCTTAGCTGGTGGCCACTTCAAGGGATCCTTATTTAAGCCCTCTCGCTTGTATCGTGACACACCACACTTTGGGCAAGCATCCAATTTTTCATTATCCTTTCGATATAGCACACAATCATTAGGACATGCATGGATCTTGGTGTACTCTAAACCCAATGGACACATCAACTTCTTTGCATAGTAAGTCGACTTAGGAATGTCATTTCCTTCTGGAAACATATCAGAGAGGGTTTCCAATAGCAAAGTGAAACTAGTGTTGGTCCACCCGCTCTTTGCTTTCAAGTAATATAAAGTTAAAATCCCATAAAGCTTGGAATACTTAGAACAACCAGGATACAACGGTGTCTCAGCTGCTTTTGACACATTCTCATATATATGAGAATCTTCATTAACATGATCGCCTAACCCGTCTATCATCTCTTCTATCCTGTCTTCCTCAACATCATCATTAAAACCCACTTCATTATCATCAAAACCATTCGTCTCTCTCTCATCAGCTTCATTGTCGTTAATAGAAGAATTATCCGCGGGAGGAAATTTTTCACCATGCCAATACCAAATACTGTAGTCTGGCATAAACCCACGAATAATCAAATGGTCTCCTATTTTCTTAATGTCTTCCCACCTCTTCACATTGTTACAATCACGACAAGGGCAGAAAATAGGTCTTGCTTTGGTTAGCCTTTGTTCAACGAGTGTACTCCATTGGTGTTGCACTGCGATTCTACAGAACTCTTTGACCCCGGCTAAGTATTCAGGTGTGGTTCGAGAACCACTATACATCCAACGACGGTCCATTTCTAAAAATGTATGATTAAAAACCAAGAAACAAATTATATTCAACATCACATATCAACACATTCCAAATGCATGATTCCAAAAGTCCTTATCGCTCCAACTTAACCCATCCTTGGAAGTGTATTCTCACTAGCAAATGGTTGACCATTTTTCGGCCCTAAGGAAATTTCGGCAGCATTTCCCTATGGTTCTCAAAGTACACGATGTAATTAATTTCTTAATTACATATGTACCCCGAGAACACTTTAGGGAATGCTAACACAAAATTACCTTTACTTCCGAAAAACAAGAAACCATTTAAATCCTAAGTGAGAATACAATTCCAAGAACAGTCCCAAACGGGGACTATTCAAGATTTACTCCTAATGTGTAAATCTTGAACGGGTATCTAGGCATATGAAAATATAATGCATAATAAATATTAACACATTTTAATTGGCAGAAAATGGGAAGAAAATTAAACAAAAATCATAAGAAAGAAACTCTCAATGCAATGTACTAATTAAACAAAAAAAACAAGCTACAAATTAATTAATTACTCATACCAAATTGTCAGATTTAAGCCGAATCAAATCACCATCTTGAAATGAGGACGGAGCTGCTTTAATGGAGTTGAGGGAGCTAAGGACCGAGTTGCTCCTGAAACATCAGATTCAAGTCACTCCCATTTCCCACCAAAATCAAAATATCAAATTAAATAGAAGTAAGTTTCCATTTCCAAACAAATGGCCAGGTATATCACTGTAGTAAGATTTTTAAACTTAGGGTCAGATAACAATTTTGTAAAGGTTTTTATTTTGATAACATTCAAAAGTTATTTGAAATATGAATTTTTAAACTTTTGTTCCTCTTACAGTGATTAAAAGAGTTAATATTTTCTCCATTAAATTTTGTGTTCAACGGATGTTGAAAAATACATATAATAATACATATATATAGAGAGGGAAATTCTATCTACTTGAGCTACCCCTCACTCTCGGATGTTTAACGATATTAATGTATGTATATCATATAAAATAATTATTGGGTAACTTTTAATCAATTTTAGAGTAACATTAAATTGAACAACTAACATTATAATGTAAGACATGAGATAAGTTTTATGTTGATAATACAAATACCTTTTCATCGTATTGTGATTGGTTTTTTTTACTCATTTTAAGGGATTAACCTTATTGATAAACTATATAGTGAGATAGTTTCATGAGAAATGAGTAATTTAAATATCATAATAAGTAACAACTTATTATTATTATTTTATTGACAAAAAGATACTATCACAGAAACGGGGGAATGAGTATAGAACCCCCAACCACTTGAGGGCATCCCTCAATCTCTTATGTCCTCTATTTGTTCATTTCAATGTGGAAGTGAAAAGACTGAAAACATGGATAACCATAGGTTGACTACTTGAGCTACAAGCAAACTTAAATCTATACTAATTTTTCCAGTTGTATTGTACTAGTCAAATAAGCCAACCTTCCATATAAAACTATAAACATGCAATCTAGTGAATCTACATTACATTCCTAATATAAAATCCGTTGAATAAACAAAATAATTAGCAATTTTATAAAGAAAATCCCTCCTTAGATGCCAAATCTTTTACAAGACATATTCAAAAAAATACCAGTACATTTCAACCTCACTTTAGACAATCCACCAAACAGTCAAAAATAATGCACGTAGAAGTTCCTAGTGCAGGAAGAAGTATTGCATTATTTTAACGAATGGTATTCCATTCAACTGATAAGTGGTATTAAAAATGACTTAGTCAGCAATAAACTTGGAGCAGCTTCTATGAGGACTTTGTTAGAATGTATAATAAACATTAGGTTCAGGAAACTATAATTTAGAGCTAAAACAACTGAACACTTAACCTAGAAAACAAGCTAAATATACAATAGTTTTCAGCACACAGCTTATAAAAGGCCGACATGCCGAATGCACAAAAACATACGTAGTATCCAATATACTACATGCAAGTATCATTTAAAGTTGAAGCGGAAAATAAAATCTGAGAAAGAAAATTAGATCACTAATTTGTGAAAGGCAATCATAGCGTATCCACACTAAAGTGAATCCACAAGTTGTGCTCATCTGCTCACAAATTCTTGCAGCCATTACAAGCAAGGGATAACAGTGAGGAAAATGTAATGAACTAACAATGAGAAATAGGAACAGCAAGCAATCACGCTATACAATTGAGTGTCACTCAATGAGGGAAAAAGAGAGTGTAGCTACGAATTGTAATCAGAAAAGCAGCTTAAAGTTGTTTTCATTTTAGTTGCGGCTTAATCAATGTAGTAAAGAACAATTTCAGATATGGAATAAACTTGCTAAATCTACGAGCATTTCATCCTGGAGATGGAAAATTGTCATCTCTAATCTAAATCTATAAAAATGACACTTTCCTCAAACAATGTGAAGCACATATCTATCACTCTGTATCAATGATTGATGCTATCAATGAGTATGTCATCAATCTTAGTTGAAATGAAGGTGGGAGCTAACCGTGTCTAGTCAACAGCCTTTGTGGCTCTCTTTACAACAACAAAAGAATATGAGTATATGACTAATGCCATTTATCATATTAGTAGTGTCACAAGTGCAGAGAGAGACCAAGGCCGCAATTTAATTAGACCACAAAATATACAACTACCTCTTGATCAAAGCGAGAATCTTTTTGTGCCCAGTGGTAATCACATCCAAAGCTTATCATGCGCAGGGCAACTGCAAATAAACGGATTCATGATGTAAGGGGGGATCCAGAAAGATAGTAATAATTTGGGGAAAAAATCAATCAATTAATTCATACTTAGCTCTAAATTCAAAGGCTTTTAAACTAAAACATTATAAAACCCAAAACAAATGGAAAATAGTAAAATCAATCAATTAATTTGGGGAAAAAAAAAATAAAACCTATAATTAAGTAATTGCAATTAAGCAAACTGAAACAAGGGTTAAGAAATTGGGGGAGGACAGAGAAAGAGTACGCTTTAATGGAGAACTATGAGCGCTTCAATGGAGAACTCAAACAGCGCTTCAATGGAGAACTCAGACAGCGCTTCAATGGAGAACTCGGAGTGCGCTTCAATGGAGAACTCGGAGTGCGCTTCAATAATGGAGAACTTGGAGTGCGCTTCAATAATGGAGAACTCAAAGTGCGCTTCAATGGAGGAGAAGAGTGAGAATGAGAGGAGCAAAACGCGCGGGAGCTCCTTCAATATTGGAGAGAGAAAGAGGAATTTTTTTGACAGAGGGAGTGAGAAAGGAAAGAGTAAAAATTTAGGGCTTACTTTAAAACTTTATTCGTAACGGACACCCTATGTTAGTTACAAATAACAAGGTCAAAATTTTGTTGACTTTTCTATTTGTAACGGGCAATATTTGTTGGTTACGATTAGTTACTTAATCGTAACGGACAGAATAATGCCTATTACAAATAACAACTTCTTCGTAACGGGCACCAATATGTCCTTTAAGAATAACAACTTTTTCGTAACGGGCACCAATTTGTCCGTTACGAATAACCCTTTTCCAGCCCAATTCACAACTTTTTTGTAACGGTCATTGAATTTGCCCGTTACGAATGACTTAATTGTAACGGAAAATCATATGTCCGTTACGAATAGCTTATTACAAATAAGATTTTTTCCACTAGTGATTGTAATCAAGTCGACTACTTAATCATGTCAAATATCTTATAAGGGCTAACTAGCGTACCAAGGAACCCGAAATTACTGAAAGAGGTTGAAATAACTGCTTTAAGTGGTTGAGCGTTCTGTCGCCGCTACAATGCCTCTGGCGCCGCGATTTGGCTCTGTCGCCAGACGCTGGGATCTAGCGCCAGGCGCTGAAATTTGTTTCCAGACGCTAGATGTTGTCGTTTAGCGTTGGAGTCGGGTCTTCCCTATTATGTTCTTGTTGCCGCTGGGATGCAGCTGTATTTATCTTTGACTATAGGACTTTGCTAATCTCTTTAATTATTTTAGGGTTAACCTAAGATTTAATGTCGCTTGACTCATTTACTTGACACGACTCAAGGTATAAACTTGACTCGCCGTGATTGACTCGAGGTTGAATCGACTCGAAGTGAAATGACACGTGTGACTCATGACTCGTGTGTGCATTGTATTGTGATCATAAAACTCAAAAATGCAAAAAAGCAAAAATTTTCCGTCATTTTTGTGGAGGGTACCGACTTTCTTCCGAAACAGAAAGACGCGAAAAAGAATCGAAGTTTTTAAAGGTTCATGTTTAATGAGCTTAGTCAAATGTCATTTGATACTATCTATCAAGGTGCAAAGGTTAATTCATCTAGCTATCCTAGTTGACTCGATAATGAAAGTATTTTAGGTAACTTAAGCGCGGAGGCTAAGTACTTCATACTTCGTGATGCAATGATGAGTGATGAGTGATATGGAAAGGCATGCTTCAGCGTTGTGTTAAGATTTTTAATTATGACAAAGGGTTCCTAAGGGAAGTATATTTGGTCATGTATCTGTGAAGTGTGTGAAAATGATACTAAAGTTAGGTTGCAAGGCTAAGTGTGTGGGAAAATATTATTTCAAGAAGAATCAAATGATGATGAATTTTTAGGCTAGGTAAGCTAATGATGTAAGGATCAAGCCCCCAAGTCTATCTCTATGTAGATAGGGATGAGAATTGGAGATCCCTTGATATGATCATGGCTTGTGAATGTGAATATGAATGCATGTTTATTACGGCCGCACCTCGATGTGAGGTTGCTTACGTATCCGTTAGGAATCAGGCCGAACGTAGCTCTAGCCGAACCTCGCACAAGTGTATGTATACCTCAAAAGGTCTTTTTAAGGGTTGTAACGTGGTTAAGCTAAAGGTTTAAGAAGAAGGGGATAAAAGGCTCAAGACCCTAGTTAAGCCCCAAAGGTGTGCAACCTTGCTTTTGAATCTTTATATTTTTATGATTGAGGCTTTCTACTCTTTTTTAGCTCTTTTTTTTTTTTTTTGTTCTCTTATTTTTCTTTTGAATTTATTTTATTTTTATAAGTGTGGGCAATCCCGATTATTTAGTCTATCACTCACTTGGTATTCATGTTTCTCTGGCACGGTACCAAGCACTCGATAAGAGACGCAATCCGAGACGTGTTCTTATCGAAGATATTTTCATATCAAAGACATTGGAACACTTGCCCATGTGTACACTTTTATTATTATTATTATTATTATTATTATTATTATTATTATTATTATTATTATTATTATTATTAATTATTTATTGCTATTTTAATTTTTTGAAGTCACTCAAGCTTTTTATAAAATTAAAAATTGCATAAGTTGCACACCATCCCATCCTAAGGTTAGGTAGATATGGGTTGAAAAATGAAAGGTCTATCGTTAGAAGAGGCTCAGAGTGGTTTATCAAAAAAGGATTGTATATTTGAAGGGTGAAAGATGATATGATGTGGCTACAAGGGGTGACTAAAATCATTGGTATACCTTGTGCTTAGTTTGACATGGATTTTTTTTTTTATTGCAATGCAATGCAATGATCATATTCAAGGAAATAAATGCTCATTTTACTAAAAAAGAAAAAGAAAGAATCTACAAAATTAATCTAAGAGAAAAGAAAGGTGCCTATGCTAGACTTATTGGAGAATGGGTAAATAAAAGAAACAGGAAAAGAGGAGGTCACGAAATCTCGTTGTTGAAACTCGTCTCTTATCTTGTGTCGTTTGCATTATCATCACTCGCTCTTCTTACTAGCTGGAGGCATGGGAAGCTTATTATTGTCAATCAAATGATTGATAGCCTCCTTTAGTGTCCATCAGCTCTCACTAGTATGACCTCTTCCTTGGTGATATGTGCAATGTGCATCTGGATTCCAACTAGGCAATCTCTTTTCAGGTGCAGGATCTTGAATAGGTTTAATGGGAGAAATGAGTCCCTTGGCGTGGAGTCGATCGAAGGCAGTATCGTAGCTCATCCCAATGGGGGTAAAGTATTTCCTTAGTTTCTTCTTAGGTCCTTGGTTATCCATGGCTAAAACTTCACTGAGATTATAGGTACTAACATTGTTACTAGAGTGGGCATTTTCAGAAGAAGAAGGATTGTCGTTCTTCTTTCATTTCCAGCCACCGTGGTTACTATTGTTAGTAGCTTTTTGCTTTGCGTGGTCGTCTTCGATCTCGATTCCGATGTCATAAACGGCCTTGAAAGTATTCAAATTATGTTGATATTTTAAATGCTTCAAATAATTTTCTCAAAGATTTTTGACAAACATCCTTACGGATTCTTTTTCGGTGGGCAACTCAATCATCTTAGCGGAAGTTTCCCTCCACTTATTGAAGAAAGAAGTAAAACCTTCATTCTCATTTTGTCTTACTATCTCGAGTTGTCTATAATCGGTTTCGACTTGAATGTTACACTTGTATCTATCAATGAAAGCGTTTACTATCGATTCCCATGTAGAGGTTTTCTCTTTGTCAAGGGAGAAGAACCAATGTTGGCAAACGGTTTCAAGAGACAAGAAAACAAGAAATGAAATAAAGACTTTCTTATCAATCCCTTTAATGTTCATTATAGTTTCAAAGGCTCTTAAGTGAAGATAAGGGTTATCTGTTGCCTTGAATTTTGGGATGTCGTTGGCATTGAACTTTTGCAAAATAAGGTCATTGTTTAGTGAGACCCCTTGTGAATTGATGCCTTGAAATTTGTAGTCACTAGACAACTTGCTCAAGCTTTCTTGCATGAGGTCCATCTGTTGTTGCTTCACAGGGTCATCGATCTTGAGAGTTAGAGACTTCAATGCCTCAGTCACGGTAGTCTATTGATTCCTAAGTTTGTTGACTTCTTCTTGAGTTTCCATTATCTTCTTAGCTTTCCTCTTTTGATGAATCGATTAATCAAAAAGTAAGACCTGAACTAAGGTGTTGTCCTTGATTAATCGCCCTTCTCTCCTTAACTAAGTAATGTGGAAAGGGAAATTAGGGATATTTACTGTTAATTATTTGACTGAAACTCTATTCAACATGCAATGGATCGAAGAAGGTAGAAAGAATGAAAGTTGTGATATGGAGAAAGATGATGTGTATGGAGAGATATGAAAAATCAGGATTAGAATGTACCCCCAACTCAAATGACGGAAAAAAAAAATCGACTCATGCATGAACCTAAGACATGGTCTCAAAGTGTGTGCTAAGACTAGTGAGTGTAGGTAACATGTTAAGACTCGTGTCATGACCATGTGGCTAGACTATCTGACTAGACTCGAACAAAGACTAAGTTAAGACCTCACGTATATGCATTAAACTGGACAGGTGGTGGTATTTTAATCATAACTTTTGATCTGTGACTCTGATTGTGATGATACCAACTCCAAATTAAAGACAAAACTCAAGGCTACGGATCCATAGGTTATGACCAAAACAAGTTGACTCTTGTGCAGTATACGGGAATAAAAAATCTGGATTGACTTAGAGGGACTATGACTCGATTTTAGACATATTTATTAGCTCGAATTAATTAATTTATAAATTAAACAAATTCCTTTAGTCATTAATTAGTTTATTAAGACTTATTTACAAACACAAGTTAAACTAAACGGTTAGTTTAGTCATATAATAAGTAAGCACAAGTAAGAGATGCACAAGTAGTCAAGTAGTCACAACATGATGCAATGAGTGCAACCTAATTATGGCTCTAGTTCTCTAAAGTTTGGGATATGGGTTAGTAAAAGAGGGTCCATGGTTAATTGTCCGAACGCACCGCGCGGAAGCCTAACCGTTAAGGGTTGGCGCGAGTGGACGGGACACCGCAAGTTTAAACAAAAACTCGCTTCCATGGTTTGGTGAATCCAACATTCTCGGATGTACCCTTTGTTACACAGAGCGTTCAATCAGGTAGATGGAGCATGAATTCCCAGAGGGTTATGTCCATATGTAGAACATATATGGCTTTTAAAAAAAGTAGAAAAGTTCAATCAGGAAGTAGAATCGAGCAAACAGTGCAAGAAACTGTTCAAAATTAGAACGCATATTTCTGGCTCGGTATTGGAAGAACTTGGCACCAGCAAACAGAGGTTGGCCCCAACGATTTGGCTTTGGCGCTTGGCGACAGAAGCTGTCGCCTGGCGCCAGAGTCAAATTAGTGGCGCTAGACTCTGTTTGTTGACGCTAGTTCCTACATGCCTTAGCAGCTTTCTGTGCTCGATAAAATTTTCCAATTTCGCGCAGCATTATTTCGATCCTAGATGTGAAAAATATTCTCAAATTTCCTATGTGTAAAAATCCTATGTTTTTAACTCATTACAGATGGTCTTTCCGCTGAGATCTTTTTTATGCATATGACAATAATGTTAATCAAAATTACGC